TACAGTACAGTTGTGAGTATCGTTCAATAATGAATTTATTATTCAACTACTTGAGTATTCTTGTCTTACACACGAAGATGTGGTGTTAACTACATATAAAGCCACTAATTACTTATAAGTGATGTCCACTAATATGTGACTTCTTGGAACATGTTTAAACCTAATCATTCTTTATTCATTCACGTTTGTAAAAGATACTAGTAGTCATCTTTTATTTCATAAAAATTGTGCCCTGCTAACCTTCGGAGTATATTAGAGATGGGGTTTCAAATTTTGTTCTAAACATTATCTTAAACTACTGATGCCAATGTTTCATTTTTTTACCCATGCATCCATCCTCTATGCTTGCATCTTAATTTTTATATTTAAATTACGGGCACAATGTCCCATTTTGTTGTTTACATTTGTAGCGTGGCGTCGAGTCGCGGTTGACTATTAACACCACTACAAGAAGAGCGCCTACCAGACAAATCAGAAGGCCAAGAAGGTTCGTAACCAGATTTATTCGTTGGCGATCTCGTGCTATCAAACGAATACCGAGATCGTGCCAAAAAGAACACAAGCGGAATTAGTGGGCCGAAGAACGAGTGTACAAGGTCACAGTCCACGGAAGAGTAATGGAGGAGCGTAAAGGCTGTCTATAGTACAGTTAAACAAAGGAGCACAGTAAAACAATCACTGGTACAATTGGTTACAACGATGATTGTTTCCATTAAACCAATCGCGTTCTGTTGACAAAAGTAAATCACTACACATAAATCACTTAAAGTTACTGATACACTTTTCGCTCTCCACATACATAGTAATTCTATTTTGGTGTTGCTTTAAGGTATTTCAGTTTCACAAACGTCTAATTTTTCACGTCATACTGTTTGTTGTACTGATTCATGAAAAACCATACCATTATTGTTATTATCATATATATACACATGACGTCGACATAAGCTAAGATGTTATACAATTCCACAACCATCTCATGTACTGTACTTTTCTATGGGTATACATGTGTATATTTTATTGTTTACTTGGATCTACAAACTGAGTCATACCGCTCAATGATCAGTGCTTAGGCCAATATCAGCATTACATACATCCATCACTCCTATGGTTTGTCCGCTAATTATTAAATTCATGAAATACACATATCTTTAACACTATTTGTATTTTACACTTAATATCACGTTTTATAATTATGTCAGGTAGAAGAATCTACATAACATAACAGAGCTTCTGTAACTAGCTATTGATGTTTATGTAAGATCTACAAGTAATTCACAATGGACATTGATATTTGTCCACCTGACAAATGGTTTATAAGCAAATTAATATTTAAGTTTTATTTTCCCGACCGTAGCTAAAACCTTGACGTGGTGGTCGGGCTTGCCCATCGTGATAACCCAACCGAGCTATATTGGCTAGAACACATGTTCCTACAGGTTCTACCATGCCAGGCGGGTCGATTGGAGAACGGTAAGACTAAAAGCAGCAACTCAAGGTCTGAGGGCGAAGTCGTACTGCTGACTGTACAGAGGTGTGACGGCAGTAAGGTGTTTCCCTTGGACAACCAGCATCTACAGCTAAGCTTTTCACAAGGAAAGAAGGGGTTAGAAGAGGTCAGCCCTAAAAATGTCACACCTCACCTTACCCCACGGATTTCCGTCTCCGGTGGTAAGGCCCTTTGAAGAACGGAGCTAACACATTAAAAACCTCCCACAAAAAGTCCGTGCACGACCGGCCTCAAGCAGTTGTCCCTTGGGCTCTGCGGTCAGGCACCCAGGTCGTTAAGACCAACGCTAATCCGACTTTCTTTTCAGGTTCCTCAAGAAATACCCTTCCACGGTGTGGGCAGCCGGGAAATGACATAAGCCCTCATACCCGTAACAACACACGAGACCAAGTTGGTCACATTCAAATCTTTCCTACACCTCCCAATAACTCTCTTATCTCCACGACTAACCCTTCTCACGTCCCTTTATCACCTCGCCCCTCTAGTGCGAACGATTCGAGTACGCGGAATGTTATTCCCGGTCTACTGAAACCACGCTCTAAACTACACGTAGGAGCTTTCAACGTCCGAACACTGTGCCAAATAGGACAACAGGCTTCCTTAGCTAGGACTCTAGAATCTCGTTCCATCTATAAGTGCTGCGTCTTTGAAACGCGCATACAGGATCCGAGTAGTGTCATTCATTTGACCTCACCATGTCAAAGTAAGAAAGCGACTCGATTTACGCTTCGTGTATCTGGAAGCCCTGATGCTGCTTCCCGTGGCGTCGCTGGCGTAGGTATAGCATTGAGTCCTAGGGCGGAACTAGCTCTTTTAGACTGGGTCCCAGTAAACAGTCGTTTGTGCGCTGTACGACTAAACGGAACAGTAAGGACTCGGAAAGATAGGGACAATCGTCGTTGCCTATTCTACCACTGATTGCAGCTCAGATGGTGTAAAAGATGAGTTTTACAGAAAGCTTTCCGACCTTCTCTGAAAAGCTAGGCGTTCAGATGTAGTAATAGTGGCTGGAGACTTTATTGCTCAAGTAGGTAAACTAGACGAAACACTGGATCTCAGCAGCGTCTACCACACTGATAGATGCTCGAAAACTCATTCCATCTGGCACTAAACACAACGAAGAGCGGAGTCAGTTTAAGCGTAAACTGACTAGAAGCCTACGCGAAGATCGTGAACAGTGGTGGGTAGCGAAAGCAAGAGAGATGGAAAAGGCAGCGGCAATAGGTAACAGCAGGCAACTGTTCAGACTTGTTAAGGAAACCGGTATTAGGAACCCAACTGTTAGCGAAACTATCTCCGAAAAGGATGGACATATTATTCATTCTCAATCCAGGAGATTGGATCGACGGGCAGAACACTTTAGGAATCAGTTCAACTGGCCTTCAGCCACACTTCGGTTTCCCACGATCCCCAGTCTACCTGAATGGCAAGTTGATGTAAGTCCTCCAACTTTTACGAAGTTGAAAAAGCTATAGGAAATCTGAAGCGTGGAACAGAAGCAGGCTCTGACAGGTTTACCCCTGAAATATTTAAGGATGGTGGTCCAGTATTAGCAGCGAGATTGACTGAGGTCTTAGGTAGAATCTGGGAACTGGACGTAATCCCATATGAATGGTCTCAATCACTGATTGTGCCAGACTATAAAAAAGGAAAAAAGTCCTCTTGTGACAATCATAGAGGAATTAGTTTGACTAATATAGTGTCTAATATAATAGCTTCAATAAGGCTTCGACGTCTAACTAAAGCTCGTGAAGAGCAGACTAGAGAAAACCAAGCCGGTTTTCGACCTGGACGTGGTTGTATAGACCAGAAATTCACACTATGTCAGGTCCTAGAACATAGAAACACATTCAGACGCCTCACAATGATAGTAATTCTCGACCTTAAGGCGGCATTTGACTCTGTCGATCGTGAGGTTCTATGACAGTGTTTGTCACTGAAAGGTGTATCAAAGAAGTACATTAACCTTATAAAGGCTCTCTACTCGAATACAACTGGTCGAGTGAGAGCTTATGGTAAAGTGTCATCAGAACTGATTACCTCAAGTGGTGTTCATCAGGGCTGTCCATTCTCTCCCTTCTTGTTTAACTTTGTCGTTGACGTGCTTTTAGAGATGACACTTTCCTCATCTAAATTTCCAAGGATTGAACTTCTACCGGGAGATTCACTTGTTGACTTAGAATATGCCGATGACATAGTTCTATTTGGTGAAGACGCTGACAAAATGTAGTCTTCTGACGACCGTAAACAACAATGCAAACGTGTTCGGGATGCGATTCTCTCCCTCAAAATGCAAAATGTTGCTTCAGGATTGGATTGCATCGACACCCGAACTAATGATAGGGAGTGAAGTAGTTAAGCGTGTCGACCACTTCACTTAAATTGGGAGTCTCATCAGCCCTTGTGATCTGGTATGTGACTAAACCTCAGCACGGATACAGAAGGCTCGACTAGCTTTTTCCAATTTGCGTCGTTTATAGTGTAGGCGATATACCGTCTATCAACCGAAGGACGTGTTTATTGCGCAGCAGTTCGTCCTGTCCTACTTTATGGCAGTGAAACATGACCGGTAAGAGTAGAGTATATTCGTAGGTTACTAGTATTTGATCATAGGTGTCTTTGAAACATTGCTCGTATATCCTTGGACCACTGAGTAAGTAATGCAGTTGTTAGGAAACCGATACTAGGTGAGGACGGCAAATCAATTGATGAAGTAGTGAAATTTAATCAGTTGAGATGGCTGGGGCATGTGTTGCGCATGCCAGACCACTGACTGGTATAGGAATAGGTTGGAAGAAAGGTAGGGTTGGTCAGACCAAGACATTGCACAAATCCATGAAGTCACTGACAATTGGACTGAGTCATGTTGGTAGATGTAGACTACCGGGTTGGGGACCGCGAGATGATAGCAACCGATGGTTAGAGACCTTGAATGACATGGCTAAAAATCGTTTGCAATGGCGCAGGTGCATCCACTCTCTGCGTTCTCCCAAACTCTAATCTTCTGAATTCTCCATGTCCTTTATTTTCTTTCCAAATTTATTCCACTGGACTATACTCCTTAAATAACATCATCAAACCTTAACGTTTCCTGCCGCTACTTATACTTTCACTACTCTGCTACTACGGGATTTGAGACGATAACTGAATCTCTGTGCTAATGTGGTGTGGCAACTCGAACTGATGTACGTACGTACGAAGTTCCACGTTGTTTCCGACTGACTGACTGATTTTCCCTTCAAAATGAATACAAGTCACTGTATTTGTGATTTGTATCGGTATACTTATCAATGTAGAATAAGTTTATTACCGAGTTTCTTTTTTCCTCACATTTTAACTCTTGATAATTATCAGCTGTTTATCTTGCCTATTGAACAGATGAGCTGTTTTCTCCCTTCAAATATGAATGTGACACAATAGTCACATGTACCATAGTTACGTCATGAGTTTTTCCCTTATATGGAAAGTAATTTATTTCAATTATAATTAAAAATTATTCAATAAATATTTTATTCAAGAAAAATCTTGATAACAAAACAAAATTTTAATGATTTTAAATTCACATGTAATAAGTGAATGAAAATTAAATAAAAATGAATTGAATTAGTTAAATGTTACGAAGAAAAAAAATGAACAGCTTAGACCACAATTAAATAGTGTCTAAGGTGTATACGGATTATCTATGCATAAAATTTGTCTTAATCTCAGTCTTTCATTAGTAATGATTTGACATTTGCTCAGAAATCTAAAAAGGTGTAAAGATAATAGATAGCATTACACGTATACTTGTTAAGAACATTTATATATAAAAATAAAAGGTCAACTAGACTGGAAATGGGGGTAAGAGGAGACAAGTATAATAATAAGAGTAATAATAACAATGTGAATACAATTTGACACCTAATCACTACTTCATCAATTGATTTGCCGTCCTCACCTAGTATCGGTTTCCCAACAACTGCATTACTTACTCAGTGGTCCAAGGATATACGAGCAATGTTTCAAAGACACCTATGATCAAATACTAGTAACCTACGAATATACTCTACTCTTACCGGTCATGTTTCACTGCCATAAAGTAGGACAGGACGAACTGCTGCGCAATAAACACGTCCTTCGGTTGATAGACGGTATATCGCCTACACTATAAATGACGCAAATTGGAAAAAGCTAGTCGAGCCTTCTGTATCCGTGCTGAGGTTTAGTCACATACCAGATCACAAGGGCTGATGAGACTCCCAATTTAAGTGAAGTGGTCGACACGCTTAACTACTTCACTCCCTATCATTAGTTCGGGTGTCGATGCAATCCAATCCTGAAGCAACATTTTGCATTTTGAGGGAGAGAATCGCATCCCGAACACGTTTGCATTGTTGTTTACGGTCGTCAGAAGACTACATTTTGTCAGCGTCTTCACCAAATAGAACTATGTCATCGGCATATTCTAAGTCAACAAGTGAATCTCCCGGTAGAAGTTCAATCCTTGGAAATTTAGATGAGGAAAGTGTCATCTCTAAAAGCACGTCAACGACAAAGTTAAACAAGAAGGGAGAGAATGGACAGCCCTGATGAACACCACTTGAGGTAATCAGTTCTGATGACACTTTACCATAAGCTCTCACTCGACCAGTTGTATTCGAGTAGAGAGCCTTTATAAGGTTAATGTACTTCTTTGATACACCTTTCAGTGACAAACACTGTCATAGAACCTCACGATCGACAGAGTCAAATGCCGCCTTAAGGTCGAGAATTACTATCATTGTGAGGCGTCTGAATGTGTGTCTATGTTCTAATCTTGAAGTATACAGTTCATCTTACACATGACTAGTGATGCACATTTATTTATGTCTGTTAGCCATATTTAATTATTTAATGAAAATTCACATTATTCTTTCAAGTACATCTATGATGAACATTTACTCTTGAAAAAAGAAGCAGTTATTTGGTTGAATCCATTGTCACCTAATAATACATCTTTCCTGAGTAGAAATTAATACACGTGAGGTCGATCTATGCTTTTACAGCTACCTAATTTACAAGTAAATCACTCAATCATAAACAATGCATAAACTGCAGTGAATATGCATTAGTTCAAAGTGTCAAACACCTTTGACCAACACAGCAACAGAGGAAATCAACTGAATGATAAACACGTGAGACAAAATAATGTCAACCGTTATGGTAAGCTAATTAAAAATAATGTAAAAGACTGAAAATAAAAATCATAGCATGCCACCTGGCATTTAAAGGAAAACAAAAACAAAAGAATGCAGTTCGGCGAGTAAAAGTAATTCACTCTACTGTAATCTTGTTAGGTTTTGAAAGAGAGAGAGAGAGCTATCACGGGTTCACGTAGTTTGAGAACGAGATCGAGGATTCGGTGACTAAGGTCCAGTAAGCTATCTATTGACGCGTCCCAGCCCCGCTATCTAGAGTGAGAAGATCAAGCTTAGAATGAAAGTATATTCCGTAACAACCAGCAAACTTTTTTACAAGACAATTTCAAAACGTATATATACAATTATATATACATCGATATTGTCATGGAGCTTTGAAACATTTAATCGATAGTTCGTCGATTGACTGCCACTGAAATATTCAAACATTTAATCGATAATTTCGTCAATCAACTATGTGCATGGGCGGTAAGAAATGCCCACGTATACATGTGCATACAAGCTCCACAAGATAAATTACAAACTATGAGTTTTTTGGGGATCTACCGTCCCCAACAAATCTGGTACAATTGATTGACAAGTGTTAATTTGTGACACGGGATTAAATCCATCAGGGGGCACCAGTTCCTTTGAGACTACAGGTATACCTTGCTAATGAGTGTCAAATGACACGAAACCTATGTACAAGATTATCTGTCGGTCACCTCTTACCACCCTAAATGTGAACATATTGCATACGATATCGAGTGGCTGTAATGCAACCTAACTGACAGAATTAAATTAGCACTAAAAAGCCTGAACAAACATGACACTAATCAATATGCAGTGATTAATCCATTGTAAATGGTCACTTATATGACTTCTGTTATTGTCTATTATTTCTAATGGAAATATCATCAATACAACACTTAAATAAACGTAATTAACTAAATTAGTTTTAATAAAAAACATGGAGTGTTAAATTTTTCAACCAATTTCTAGATCGATTAATATAAGATTTTGATTTAAGAGTAAACCCATTGATAAATTAATATTATCTAACCAAAATAAAAGTCTTTTTAAATATTACTAAAATTTACTCATGTGTTAGTCAGTCTCAGTCTAGGTTGAGTAAGAATACAGTGGCCCTGGGTGCTGTTAGAGCTATGAGAGTGGTTATCATTTCCCGGTTGCTCACACCGTGGAAAGGTTCTTCTGGAGATACCTGAAAAAATTGGATTAGAGGTGGTCTTAGTGACCCGAGAGCTTGACTGAAGTGCCCAAGGGACAACTACTTGAGGTTGGTCACACATGACCTTTTGTGAGTAATTTTCGTGTTGGCTCCGTACTTGTTGAGACCTTACCGCCGAAGACGGATATCCGTGGGATAAGGCGAGGTGTACATTTTTAGGGTTGACCTCTTCTAAACCCACCCCTCCTTGTGGGAAGGCAGCATCGCTGTCATGTTGGTTGTCTGAAGGAAACGCCTTACTGCTGTCACACCTCAGTACAGTCAGCAGTACGACTTCTCCCTCGGACATTGGGTTCGCTGTTTTTAGTTTTACCGTACTTCAACCGATCTGTCTGGCGTGGTAGGACCTTGAGGAACGATTGTTCCAGCCAGTATAGCTCGATTGGTTCATGACGATAGGCAAGCCCGACCACCACATCAAGGTAGCAACAACGGTCGGGAGTGAGAATAAAAAATATGGAACGCTTCACGATTTGGCGTGCCATCCTTGCGCAGGGCATCAGTGCTTGAAGTCACTAACTTCTAGACTTAACCATGTTGGTAGATGCAGACTACTTGGTCGGGGTCCACGTGAATATCGTAACCAATCGTTGGAGATTCTGGGTGACATAGCTCAGAATCGATCACAATGGCATAGGTATATACACTCTTTATCTTCTCTTAAACTATGCGATTAAAATCGCTTCACATCTTTCTTTCTACGAACTAATTCTTCCTTCCTATACTATATCCATATATGCAATTTTTCATTTATATGTTACCACCATTGAATTAACTACTTCTATGAGTTGGGTATTCATCTTGCTGTGCTAATGAGGTAAGGAACCTTGGACCGTTGTATCTGACTGATCGGCAATCTCAATCTGAAAAATACACCTTATCAGGTTAAATATTGTTATTTTTAAAACTCAATGAGATAACTGATCATATTAATTCATTAAAATAACGTTAGAAAAAGGAAGAATTATTTCAGTCGTCATGTATAATATTCATAGGACTGTTGTACTACGCAAGTCAATCTTTGATTTGATCACACATATAAAAATCAACATGCGTCAATAACCGTTTGGTAAGTTTATGTAATGTAATAGGAATTTATTTTGATAAATTTCCTTTAGTTTCACTTTAGTGGTTAGTCTTATTATTTGCCATTATAAAAACAATAATAATAATATTAACAGGAAAAATCCTGATTTCGACATAGTTGAGAAGTCCCGAACTAAGACGAAACGGCTGTTCATTGCTTCCAGATTTTCAGCAGTAGTCTAACTGAGCATTTTATCATTCCAAACAAATTGTTCTAGTTCACGATTCACTCATTCTGTGATTCTCACTGATCATGATAATAACTCATGATTGATCTGTGAACATAATTCAAACTTTAATTGTTCACTGATAAATGTTGATTGTATTAAATAGTGCAAATCTAGATTTCAAAACTAGATTAGGTTTGATTTAAATCGTATATACATTTTGCTGCTGGGTATGATGAAATACGATAGTTGTGTTTACAATTTAATGTTTGACCAATTAGGTGGTTGTTGTTGTTGGGGTTGTATTCGACAGACAATTCTGGACCTAGACTTCGTACTTTTCGGCTTTCATCGGCAAGGTTTACCTGTTATCTTCAGGGAACTGATACACCCTGGTGTATTTTGTCCCTTGTCAATCAGCTCTACAGTTAGAGACGTTACTGTCTAGGTTCAGGTTTTATTTTTTACTACCTCCAACCACCCTATGCTTCAACATAGCGCGCGCGATATCAAGTCATTTAGACTAGTGACCTTAATACAAGTTAATCGATAGAATTCGATAAATACTAAGAAGAACCTGACATACATGACATTGGTCACCATTCAGTGATTAATCGGTCGTAAATGTTTTAGACTTTATTAATACTATGTGTGAAAATCAATTAGATAGTCATAACTTTAAGCAAACTACAAAACATCACTTTCAGATCCTGACCACTGGCTATGCAGATATAGAATATAGGCTAGTACACGGGTAAGTTGAAGGAAGGCTAAACTCAGTCGAACGAATATACGATATTGATGCATGTAGAGATAATCCATGTCAGGAGGGGCAAACCACCTGGTAGCAGCTTGTGTAACAATCATAATCAGTAGTTAGAGGACTTAAGTGAAATGGTTAAGAATTGATCTAAGTTGTTCGGAGATATTCACTCTTTATCTTGCCCTAGATCTTCACTTTTCACATGATTTCATCCTCTCCCGTTAGTGATTTTATTCATTCTGCTAGAATTGTATTCTCAGTGTTTACGTTTCCATTATTATTATTATTATTATTATTATTATTATTATTATTATTATTATTATTATTATTATTATTATTATTATTATTATTATTTCAACTCATTTTATTTTCATTTTGCCAGTTTTCCCTTATGGTTGTGTTGGTGTTGTGGAGTAATAAAACATTTACTTTGTTCCCTGTACTGAGGAAATACTAGTACATAAATGGTACGTCCTACAGTTAACAATAATCGGAAAAACAATTTCATATCTTGGTATCATGCGAAAGTCTCGTTGAACCAAAGCATCTTCATTGATGGCAATTTATTAAACTTGGCTTTCTATAAATTAAATGCACTATAAAACTGGACATTAAAAATAGTTCACAGGTAATCTTGTACTCAAAAGTGTTACGTGATGTCAAGCTTTAACACTAGTGAATAAGATGTTTAATAAACCTTCTTTGGCGTAGATGTAATATCCATTATCAGAAAACGGTCATGACCTTATAGTTATACTAATTTTTTTTCAAATACTTATGTTTTTCTTAAACCATTTACTGAAGACCACTACGTGTTTACAAGATTGATGACTATTACGGTATGCATTCAGAAAATAATGAATTACTCTAGAATAGTGTTACCTTTGATTATGTATTTCAATTACAATTTGTGCTTTATATTATTGACATTTCTATGGCAGATGTTCAGTTAGAATAATTCATGAATCAAATCTGTTTAGATAATGTTTATTTTTATTATTACCTAATTGTGTAATCAAAAGCACAGATTTATTTAAACTTATAAGGTCAAACATCATTGATAGAAAGGATGAGAAAAAGTAACCATCTATGAAATTCAAAACTTTTATGAACAAAAATGCAACAAACAGAGATGATGATGGATAGCAGTGGAATTTATGACGTACATTCCGTCTTATTTGGTACTCATCAACTGGATGTGACTGCAACTCAGTTGATGTTCACTCTGGGACAAGAACCAAGTTCCGTCTGCTTCAAACGTCATCACATTATCCACTTAGCTACTGAGTTCAGATAGCCACTATTTTGTGCAATGAGGTAAAGTTGAATTCATTTTTGTATTGGTTGTTTGAATATTCCTAATGATGTTTAGAATTGCAATTGATCAGTCAACATCATCTCTGCTTACAATGCTTGTGATTTAACGCAATATCGAGGCAATCCGAACAGGATACACATATGCCAATAAGAGACTGATCGATTGCAAACCTAAACATCAATTGGAACATTCAAGCAAACAATACGAAAATGAATTAAAAATGCAATAAATTATCATAAATTAAATGTCTGACTGTATTAGGAAGAATTATAATACCCAATTTTATTGATAACAAATAATGTAAGGTTACGGTAGGCTACAAATCTTCTGACGAGTTTTCCAAAATGCAAGCTATTCTTATGACTACATTTTACAGATAATAATAATTTATATTATTATTATCTGATGTTGAAGATGATAACTTATCTAATCAGTTTACAGCTTTCAAATGCCCCATAATTGTAAATAATTATTTAACTGATCAGTCAGTCAGATACAACGTAAGACTAGGTACATATTGATTCACCCAACTCATAGAAGTAGTTAATTCAATGGTGGTAACATATAAATGAAAAATTGCATATATGGATATAGTATAGGAAGAAAGAATTAGTTCGTAGAAAGAAAGATGTGAAGCGATTTTAATCGCATAGTTTAAGAGAAGATAAAGAGTGTATATACCTATGCCATTGTGATCGATTCTGAGCTATGTCACCCAGAATCTCCAACGATTGGTTACGATATTCACGTGGACCCCGACCAAGTAGTCTGCATCTACCAACATGGTTAAGTCTAGAAGTTAGTGACTTCAAGCACTGATGCCCTGCGCAAGGATGGCACGCCAAATCGTGAAGCGTTCCATATTTTTTATTCTCACTCCCGACCGTTGTTGCTACCTTGATGTGGTGGTCGGGCTTGCCTATCGTCATGAACCAATCGAGCTATACTGGCTGGAACAATCGTTCCTCAAGGTCCTACCACGCCAGACAGATCGGTTGAAGTACGGTAAAACTAAAAACAGCGAACCCAATGTCCGAGGGAGAAGTCGTACTGCTGACTGTACTGAGGTGTGACAGCAGTAAGGCGTTTCCTTCAGACAACCAACATGACAGCGATGCTGCCTTCCCACAAGGAGGGGTGGGTTTAGAAGAGGTCAACCCTAAAAATGTACACCTCGCCTTATCCCACGGATATCCGTCTTCGGCGGTAAGGTCTCAACAAGTACGGAGCCAACACGAAAATTACTCACAAAAGGTCATGTGTGACCAACCTCAAGTAGTTGTCCCTTGGGCACTTCAGTCAAGCTCTCAGGTCACTAAGACCACCTCTAATCCAATTTTTTCAGGTATCTCCAGAAGAACCTTTCCACGGTGTGAGCAACCGGGAAATGATAACCACTCTCATAACTCTAACAGCACTCAGGGCCACTGTATTAATATTTAACCTCCCTCTTAAGTGATGCCAGGAAATAATAAAAAAACGATTTTTAGAAATGAAATAAAACAATTTCTTAATGATTGTAATAAAATAAAACAAGCGTTACATTTCTTTCCTTAATATTCAAATAAAAAAAGAAAATACAACAGCATAACTTACATTTTTACTGATTGAATATTAATATTTAAGTGTTGATTGTCGAAACCATACACACACACACATACTCATACCCATTTAATCCTTATCATTTAATTGTGATTTTAACAAAGTTGAAACATTATCTCTTACATAATTCCATTGACACATTGAACTTAATCGTGAACCAGATGGAAAACGTGTTGATAAACCATCTGGTAATCGATATGGAAAAATAGCACCTTTAATAATATTTGGTAATAAATTTTCTAATAAATTTAATGCACAACAAATATTAACAAATGATGGACCTGCTATAGTTAAACGTCGACATGGTATACCTTTAATACATATTATACTTGAATAAACTTCACTTAAATGTATTTTTGTACCAGATTTTTTTTCAATTGAATGAATACGACGATCAGAAAATACATTATGTACATATTTAGTTTGTTTAATTTCATTAATATATTGTAAATTTTTTAATTGTGAAAATTTATCTTGGAAATGTTTTCTTCGAAATGGTATTAAATAATCATCTACCTAGAGAATGAGAAGATTGAAAATAAAATGTAAAAAAACAAACAAACATATTAAAGACTATTTAGTAGGGGGGAAAATTTCCTTATGGATAATACAATTTATTGAAGCTGTATACTTATAAATAAACTAGTATAACATTAATATGCAGTATTCCGTTGGAAAAAAAAGTATAAAAAAAGTTGCGTCATAAATTGTTAGGAATAATTCAGTATTAAAAGAAATTTATGTAGTTTTAGTGTGCACCTCGTATATGGACAGATATAAGTAATATATAACAGGAATAGGAAATGGAATGCCTATCAATAGAAGATTGAAATGAAGAGATTAGGAAGGAAAACGGAGTGCAATAGGATTAACAATAGTATTAGAAGAATAATGGAGTATGTAAAGGACAAATGAAGCATGAAGTGCAATCGATGTATTTAATGTATGATTTTCATATTTTGCAAACACACTGTGCGATTTTGAATACAATATCAGAAGAGATTTTGTGGAGATTTTAACAATTTCAATGGTTGAAATCATGAGTCAATTGAAGTTACACAACGATAGAAAACCTGGAAGTACTGGACGGCCGTTTCGTCCTGGTATGGGACTCCTCAGCAGTACGCATTCAAAGTCCCGCCTCGCGAGGTTGAAACCCAGAACTTATCGGTCTCGCGCGCGAGTGCTTAACCATTAACCACTAAGCCGGCATCCAACGATGTTAATGTCTGACTTCAACCAATCCATGAAATTGTGCCACCATTGTTTTTGGTGAGCTTCAATTGAATCATGATTTCAACTATTGAAATTTCTAAAATGTCCACTAAACCCCTTCTGATACTAATCATTTGCTTACTAGTGGCTGACTTCAAGAGGGATTTCCTGGAGTTCTACTGAGAAGCTGTGACCAGTGGAGTTCAACCAGGTCTTTTGTGAAATATCAACTCACTGAGGCCAAGTGATATTGGATGTCATCTCAGTGGTCTAGAGGCTAGTTGCTCACGCGTAAGACCGATAGGTCCTGGGTTCGAATCTCTCGGGGGGCGGGATCGTGGATGCGAACTGCTGAGGAGTCCCATACTAGGACGAAACGACCGTCCAGTGCTTCCAGGTTTTCCATGGTGGTCTAGCTTCAACTGACTCATGATTTCAACTTTTGAATATAATAGTAAATTAATATATCATACATGAGATTTCGTTCACTACATTGTTAGCTACAGGTTAATGAACAAAAAGTAAGATAAATGTACTTTAAAGATGAATGTCTACCTGATCAATTTGAAGAAAAGAATAATTGAATAATGTAATAATAACTGATTATAAAAAGCAAACTAGAATTACAAATTATACGCGTTAGGAAACGAGTTTCAGACCAAAATGTGAATCGTAAGATTATAGGAGTTGCTTTTGTACACAGAGTTTAAGCTTGAATCATTAGATTGCTAAAAGTTATGTAGCTAATAAATTTCTTTCATTTATACTCTCTTTAAATCAATTCATTTGATCGTAGGGATAATTGTGATATAACCAGACAAATGGAGATACATTGGAATATGTATCGAGAATGATTTTTAGAAAAAATGAAAGTATAATTCTACGTAATCAGTAATATTCAATAAGAACCTGATACATCTATGCATCAGTTCAAGTTGACATACTACACTAATAGAGTGAGACCAAATTATCAAGACAAATATTAGAGTAGTAAAATTTTTATCAGTTTTAGGTAGTTTCCACCCACTTACATGACCCAGTTCAGTTGCTAATGTCTTCATGAACTTATGTCTATTGGAAACCAGTCCAAAAAAGCCTGCTCTGTCTTTAAACTTCATGCTATACATACACAACTGAGGCAAAGAGAAGTAGTACTGAAAATCCCAGATACACAGAAAGTAAGGTACGCCGGTTCTCTATAATGACTAAGTGAGATCGAGTAAATAACGGCACATATTGTTTGCATGAAATCTTAGAGTTCCAGCTAAAACCTGTACGGAGTGAGTTGGCTTATGGATTGTAATTATGTGAATCTATTTTTGACATTGATTTCTTAGGTAGTCTAATAATCTTAATACCATAATCTTATCCTGAGCAACTAGAAGTATTTTGATTATTCACAATTTGCAACTGAGACTATAGTTTTTATACCGCAGTTTCTGTACAATGAATAGACCAGGAAGTCCTATATTTACGTTAATAAACTAGCTAACTGAATACAATAAAACAATAACGTGACATAATCGGAGATTGATTCACATCACAATTAAAAAAACGAAGAGAAGGATGGAAGTATGCCAGAAGCATCAGGAATAAAAGTATGGAATTGTAAACCATTCAAAGTTTCTAAAACAAACATGCATATCAGCTGTTAATGATTGCCAACAAACATTTATTTATACAGTTCAAAAAACATTGTTAGGTAAGGACAGGTAGTTGCTAGTAGTAGAACACAGGACATGCGTTTCGTACCATTCAGGACTCGTCAACTGAATGTACATACATCCCAGTATTAAGATTCATTTTAGAACTCGAACCTGGAGCCTTTCGCTTAAAACTCCAAACGCATTACTCGTTGAACTATTAAATTTAGATAGATAATAGCTTACGAAAGTTCAAACACTTTTCTAGTAACTCCATAGACTATTTCTAAGTAAAAATAAAAAGTAGGGTGCATAATACTACTAAACCCTATCCTTGACATTTCCTAAGCATACTGATGAAATTCTTGTACCATAAATTATATAGTTCATTCAAGTTGAAGTAGCCTCAATGATGAGTGACATTCTAGCAAGATAATATATGTATATATTCTTATCGACAGTGTATTTTTATAATAAGGTTATACAGAACACTCTTTCTATAGAAAAATTTATTGACTAAATTCAAATTTAAAGAGATGGTTAAAAAAAAACTTAATATGTGAATACATTTTGTGAACATTGGTACCTTTCAAAGTTGATCTGATCGGAATACACTTTATTATCGATTGCAAAGCATTTAGTTTAAGATTGTCATGTTGCTTTTATGATATAAATACACCCCTTTAATTGATACCTACCATTAATTTTAGTTTTACAGAGTAGCCTATATATATATATATATATATATATATATATATATATATATATATATATATATATATATATATATATATATATATATATATATATATATATATAACTCACAGTTGATGATGGAAAATAAACATAGAAGCAATAATGACATGAATGATGACGACATAGTGCAATAGTTTCAGGACTAGCATTATCTAAATCTCTGTAAGCAGTTGGATCCGGGATTGTGAATGGTAATGAGGATGAAATTGCATCTTGTTCTCTAAATCCACCTGATTCACTTATAGTTGTACATCCATGTATGTTATTATCATGCGTGTATATATCCTTGTGGAGTGGATCATTCTTTTGTGAATCTGTTTTTGATGTAGATTTTGTGGATAGTCTCGTGACTTTAGAGTTACAATGCTGTTCAGATTTTTGATCACAATAAATAGGGGAAGTGTTTTGACTATCGAATTCTGATTTATGCGTTGGAGAAAGATTCAAGTTAAGTGATCCACTTTCTTCTATAGACTCATCATTAGGTATATCAAAATTAACTGAATCAATACATTCGTTATAATCGACTTTTCTGTTGATAGTTCGCTTATTACGTGAGAATATATTCATTTTGTGAATTAAACTCAAAGCTTTATTTTGATTAGAGTTGCTAGTTAACTTTTTATTAAACATCCAGTTTTCACTTGAAATACTCGAATCATATGAAAGATGATGATCGGGGTTCTCATAAATTGGTACATTCTTGGATTTCTTTCCAAACATTTTATGAATTCTCTACTGTACTAGATAAATACGAAAATATTGATTTAATCTCTTTGAACGTAGGTGATCAATATGATTGATAATTGTCTGCAGCTGAAGATAATCAAAATGCTGCACTATATTACATTGTATTACATATTACGCTTTTGGCTAGCTTAAATTAGTATTTCCTGTTTATATTCAACAGTTTGTCATCTGGTTCACAATGAGTAGTCAATGATGGTAGAATATTACCAGAATGGGGATTTGTAGAGATTGTAATAATTTTTAATGGTTGAATTCATGAATCAATGTAAGCTAGACCGCTATAGAAAAGCTGGAAGCACTGGACGGCCGTTTCGTCCTAGTATGGGACTCCTCATTAGTGCGATACACAATCTCGCACGCGGGACTAGAGCGCGAACACAACCTCTAGACCAGTAAGCCGGCATTCAGCGGTGTTAATGTCTAACTTTAATCGATCCTTGATCTTGTGCAACCCTTCATCGATTGTTTGAGGTGGATAACTGTCTCCACCGAACAGGGACTGAACTTTACTGGTCACGGCTTCTCATTAGTACTCCAGGAAGTCCATCTTGAAGCTAGTCACTGGCAAGCATATGATAGTCTATCTCTTCCAGGTTTCCAATGGTGGTCTAGCTTAGATCGACTCATGAATTCAACTGGTAAAAAATTAGTTCCAACCAACTAGGATCAAAGTGATTCCAAGTTCGTAGTGAATACACAGCATCATGGTGCTAACTCCTAACCGTATAATGATTAATTTTAATGAGAAAACCGATGGTTAGAGACCTTGAATGACATGGCTCAAAATCGTTTGCAATGGCGCAGGTACATCCACTCTCTGTGTTCTCTCAAACTCTAATCTTCTGTATTCTTCATGTCTTTTATTTTTCTAAATCTATTCCACTGGAATATACTCCTTAAATAACATCATCAAACCTTAATGTTCCCTATCACTACTTATACTTTCGGTACCTCTACCATTATGGGATTTGAATCGATAACTGAATCTCTGTGCTAATGTGGTATGGCAACTCGAACTGATGTACGTACGTATGAAGTTCCACGTTGTTACTGACTGACTGAGAAAACTACTGATGAATAATAATAAGACGTTGAGATGCTGAAGAAAACTCAATCGGAATTGTACTAATGAAACGAATATGTATAAAAACACGGGGAAGTGATATTGTGTTGCGGTCTTTAGTAGAATATATGGATTTGAGACTAATAATCGAATTCGGGACGGGCGTTTCGTTTTATTTGGAATTCACGATCTGGATATCAGTTTTAGCGCAATATTGATGCTTTATTTACAGCATGCACAAATGTTAACTAATACAAATTCAGTCAAGATTATCAACAACGGTAATAACACGATCGTCTTTGATATTTAGCTAGTGTTTGTTTGGTTGGACCATAAAAAGTACGCTTAACTCAAGGTAGAACTTTTGACCAACTTTGGGATGTTTATTAATGATGCAGACACATATTTTTTGCAAATTCCTTCCTCTTGTACTATAAATTACTCATTCATATTTGCTATTTTTTGTTTGGCCGCAGTTTTCCCGAGGTCAGTGTTCAATACCGTACTTAATCTTTACTAACTTGTTTATATATAAACAGGTCTTATTTACATTCGTCGATGTCAAAGTTCCGTCCTTTATTCTCGATTATGCGAACCACTACCCATAACTTCCTTTCTGTTTGGAAAGTGACAATCGCTGTGCAATGTCGTTTATCTACTATTTTGAATCAAGAAGGTGGAAAAATCTTGAGGACTTCACAAACAGCAGATAGTCGTCTGAATACAATAAAATATGCACATTATTTATAATGGATCAGTTTAGCACCTCGAACAGATTTGAATTAATTAGTAAAAATTCTTTAAGTAGAGCGAATTTACAAAGTCCAGTTCTTTAGACATCTATATACCAGTACTAGGCAGTGTATGTACATGTTTACGATTGGAAGTAAAAGGTATGTAACAATATTCTATCACCATGGAAGTAGAATACTCTCCAATTACAAAAGCATGCAAACACATATCAATCTATGGAGAAACTCCTACTATAAAAACTGATTGTACCTCCATAATTTGAACTAAGGATCACTACCTATTTGTGAAAACCCAATAATACTACATCTTCAAAAAAGAATCTCAAATTGAAATACATGGCACATTGTCTGAAGAAAAGTGAATTATCAACAGTCCACATGTTGAAAGTGTGCCACAAATAAAACTAGGTGAATTGTATTTGGACGTATAAAGAAATGACTAGGAATCTATTGATTAACCGTTAAAGTTAAACAATCCAATCAAAAGAACTAAACGCCACAAACTATCGTCAGAAAAAAAAATATGCCAAATTAAACGGCCTAGTTGTCAATAATAATGTAAAAGAAGTGCCTTCTTTTGTTTATTTTAACAAAAACAAAGATTTTCTTGAAAATTGCATTCACAAATTCTACAAAACAATACTACACAATGTTTTATATATATATATATATATATATATATATATATATATATATATATATATATATATATATATATATATATATATATATATATATACGTTCATGATAATAATTTAAGTCCTTTAAAATAAACCTGAATAATTGATTTCTCGTATGGGCGTGTAGCTAATGCTGTGCACAGATCTTCCGGTTGTTCTATCCACAAATAATAATCAATACCGGCATCTTTTAATTTATTTGCTAAATTTTCCAACTGTTCTGCATTCTCAACTCCTAAAACAATTTTATGCATTCTATTTAGTTCGTTTAGATATAACACCGTATCTGAATGTGTAAAGTAAGTAGTAATGGCTGCTGTCGCGGCATGACACCCTTGTGCAATTAATGCGCCTAATGGCCAATTTAATATCGTTGACAAATCACGACGTAATACAATATACTGAACTATAACCATTAAAACAATAAGAAGTTTTTGAGTTGGATAGAGATGAATCAGTGAAAGTTGGTTGAGTTCACAGGGTATAATAATTTAGCTGATAGTTCATTTTACACACATAGAAATGTACCCTAAAAATGATAGGAAAGAAAAAAACACAACTAAACAAATCTTATAAAAATTAATGGTTTGAAAAATCTCAAAGATTTGATTTAACTAGATAGTTAGACGGTACAACATGAGTAACGTTTAGCTAGCATAGAATTTATAATTCAAAGAACATTAAATGATAATTCCAATGGAGCACTTTAGTAATTTTATCTGTTTGCCTTTTTTGATAAATTTAAACAATGTAAAAACAACAAAATTTGTAGAATAAAATGAATTAATTGTATTTTGAAGCCTTTTATTAACAACTATGAACAGTCTAAACTGAAAAGGAGCAATAAAATAATAAGCAAACGTTGTACAAACTTTAGTAATTGAAAGTGAAATGAATATTTATAAAGAAACCGAAGACCATGATAAGTAACATGTTATTAAACATAGTTAAAATTAACGCGTACATACGTTGCAGAACAGTCGTAGAGGTGATGTTACGATTACTAATAATCAAAACAGGAATGATGAACGACTATACAATTAACACTACAACCAAATTAATTTGTGACAATTAATAAGCATATCTCTCGTAATTTCAGGTTGTTTGCGAATGGCGAGAAACCTCGAAATACAATAGGTTTTTCTCTGCGAACCCTGTTCTTGCTTTGTTTAAATTTGTAAACATCTCTAAATCCTTAGGTTGTATTCATCTCATTTGGGGCTCTACTGAAAACCAGGAAGCACTGGACAACTGCTCCATTCTAGTGTAGAATCACCCAGGATACGCATGCACAAACACACCAGCGACAAATACAGCTTAAAGATCAAATCGATCTATAGGAAAATCCCTTAATTAATTCTAGCTTTTTTACAATTTGAACCTAGGCTACTAAGAAGAATATCGATTATTTATTTATTTATTTGAACACATAAATATTGGTACAGGGGGGCACCAAATATATATGCGCCACACAAAACAGTGATAATTAGAAGAGAAGGAGAAAAGAGAAGAAAAAAAAATAATGAACGTGGGGAATTATTAAAAAAAAAAGAAGAGAGAGAGAGAGAGAACAATGGTGGGGGAAACGGAAAGGTACAATCAGAACAGATCTTTCAGTTAAGGAAGAATACGACCACCTTTTTATGAAGAAAGTAAAAGAAGGTTACAGCAGGATCGCCACTGGCTTCTATTCTGAGCCATATCTGATAACGTCTCTAGCCACTGCGTTACACCATCTCTCGGACCCCAACCAGGGAGTCGTGAAGGACCAACAGAAGCTAGCCCTTTGCAGCTTTCTTTCATACTACGACACCATGTCATATACTGACCACCTCTCCGCTTTTTCCAACCAGTCCCAGAGTCGGCAAATAATGCACGACGAGGAATTCTCTGGGACGACATTCGTAGAACATGTCCAAGCCACCGAAGTCGGTGTTTCAAGATGGTGACACCAATTTCATTATCGTCTCTGTGACCGAGCACTCGATGCCGAACCTCTGCATTACTGACATGGTGTTGCCACTGGATGCCAGCAATCCTTCGGAGGCAACGATGATCGAACACAGAGAGTCGTCTAACATCCTCAACTCGGAGAGGCCAGGTTTCACAAGCATAGAGCAAAACTGCTCTCACCGTCGCGTTGTAGATCCGACCTTTTACAGCCAGACTAACATCACGAAGGCGCCAAAGATGGCCCAGATTGGCATAAGCCGCTCTGGCTTTCACTATACGTGCATTGATCTCATCACTCACGCCACCACCAGCACTTATGCAGCTACCCAGATACACGAACTTCTCGACTACTTCTATCTGCTCACCATCCAGAGTGAGTACAGGATTAGAATCCTGCCAGTCTTGTAGAAGTACTTTGCACTTCGAGGGTGCAAAGCACATACCATACCTACGGACATTGATTGCCAACTGATTAAGTGCGGATTGCATAGCTTGGGCATTATCGCACAGTAAGACAATATCATCCGCATACTCAAGGTCGAGAAGTCTTTCTCCAGGCAACAGATCCACACCACCATTACTTACATCCGTCAGAGCTGTTTCCAGAATGTCATCGATGGCAAAGTTGAAGAGGAATGGTGAGATTGGGCAACCCTGCCTAACTCCACTGCTTGAATGGAATAGTGGAGAAAGGTGGTTGTATGCCCTCACTCTACCTGAGGTGTTTGTATATAAGGCTTTTAGGATGTTAATAAACTTCTCGGGCACACCCCTCTTCAATAGACAATCCCAGAGAACAGTTCTGTCCAACGAATCGAAAGCAGTCTTGATATCAAGAAACACTACGATTGTTGGCCTTTGATAAGTATGGCGGTGTTCTAACACTTGGCGGAGGGTGAAGATATGATCAATACATCCTCGACCAGAACGAAACCCAGCCTGCTCCTCGCGAGTCAATCCTTCTCGGGTTCTGAACAACCTACGAAGTATGACGGAAGCCAATAGCTTGGACGCAATCGGAAGTAGACTTATCCCCCGATAGTTGTTACAGGAACAACGTGAACCCTTTTTAAAGATAGGGACAACTATCGACTCATTCCATGACGTTGGTACACTCTCTAGTTCCCAGATCTTTGTAAACAACGTCGTCAGTCCTTTAGTCAGAAAGTCACCACCATCTTTAAAAAGAGCCGGGGGTAAGTCGTCTGGGCCTGGTGATTTGTAACGTTTCAAGAGTTGGAGTTCCTTGCGAACTTCCGCCTCATTTGGTGGATCAGTCGTCACCGGCCAAGGAGGGCAGGACAGTCTGACCGATGTTGCCGGAGCAGCAGGCCAGTTGAACTGCCCTTCAAAGAATTCTGCCCATCGTCCAAGACGTCGATGGATGTTAGTGATTGGCGTTCCGTCATCCTCGCAGATTGTTTCGCTCACACCAGACTTCTTGCTGCCGGTGGCTCGGATGAGTTGGAAGAGCTTCCGGTAATTACCAGATGCAGCTGCTGCTTCCAACTCACTGGCACGCTCCGACCACCAGGTTTCTCGGTCCTTACGCAAGCTTTGCCCGATTTCATTACGTAACAACCTTCGTCTGTAGTCGAACTCACGGTCACCCGGAGTAGACCGACGGGCTTCAATCAGTTGTAAGGAACCAGAAGAAACCCAGTGCTTGTAAGCGGGACGTTTCGCAATCCCACAGCTGACTTGACCCGCCATTTTCATGGCGTCATGCAATTGCAACCAATGCTCATCTAAACTTTTCGGTGGAATAGTGGCTAGCCTAGAAGCTAGCTCGGTTCGGTACTTACTAGCAACAGAAGTTGCAGCCAGCTTGCTAACATCAATCCTGTGGTGGCGGTCACTTCGTTGTCCACTGAAAAGTAAGGTAAGATTGGCGCAGACCAGAGCATGATCAGATTCCAGATAGGTACTCCAAAAGGAGCGGCAGTCTTGTACACAACCGCGCCAGCGGTAGCTGATCGCGATGTGATCAATCTGAGTCCAGGCTTGAGATGCAGAAGGGGGACGCCAGGTGGCACATCGGCGATGACTGTGCCGAAAGTTAGTGCTAGCCAGAAACAGGTTGTGGTCTGTGCATAGTTGCAGTAGACGTTCCCCGTTATCTGTCCTGCGACCAACAAGTCCCCATCGGCCACCTAAACGACTCTCTTCTGTGCCTAGACGCCCGACCTGAGCATTCAAGTCTCCAGCTAGTACTACAATATCTGTCGAACGCACTTTCTGGAGAAGAACAGATAACTGGTGGTAGAACTCATCCTTGATTGCATCCGGGCTGCAATCTGTCGGGGCATAGGCGGAGATGACGAAAAGACATCGTTTCTCACGCCGATTTCTTCTCACTCTGATGGTACTTTCTAATCTAACAGCACATAACCGACTGTTAATGGGGATCCAGTCGACTAGTGCTGCCTCAGCTCTTGCGCTTAGTGCGACACCAACGCCAGCAAGACCAGACGAAGATGCCACAGGGTCCCCGGATAAACGCACGTAAAACAAGCTTTTTGGAGCGACAGATGGAGAGCGAACTTGTAGTACTTCACCAGAGTCTTGAATACGGGTCTCGGATAGACAACACACATCAATATTAAGACTTTCCAAAGACATTGCCAGCCCTATCTGTTGTCCGACCTGCATAAGTGTGCGAACGTTAAAGGCAGCCAGTTTGAATGGTGCACGTGGTTTCAGAAAGACTGCTTCAGTACTCTTATTCGATGGTAACATACAATTTTCAAACCAGGCAGTGACTCGAGAACGTTTAGATAAAGCTGAATTTTTACCATAGGCGAGCTGCTGTCTGAGTCGAAACGGATACAAAAAGTAGAAATAGGAGATAGTGAGTAAATGACGTAGTAAATAATAATAATAATAATAATAATAATAATAATAATAATAATAATAATAATAATAATAGTATCAGTCATTTCAATGTTAGTCAGAGAAGAACGAATATTTTCCGTAAGCGAATATTTCATCATGTTTTGGTGTGTGGGCTGAGATACTGCCCGGGTGCCCAAACCGAAGAATATCGATATAAAAATACAATATAAGACAGTATTTAGTTCAAGAAAACCGATTAATATTAAGTCTACTAGTTTTCGAGGACAGTTGAGTGAAATGAATGCTCAGAAACCATCTACAATTCAAATTGTCTTTTACATTTCCATGTATCATTATTTATCTATTTGACCTTCCTCAGTTTTCAAAGGAAATGTCTTGACGAGTAAATATATAATCAAATTATTTGAAATGTATTCATTGGATAAATCATATCCTTATTTTTAAAATCGACTACCATTTCACTCACTAACTTGGAACTCAGTAGTTGAAGGACAATAAGCACCAGATTTTGATGGTTTAAAAAGTCAAGCTCCTAAACTAATATTTGAATTAAAGAAACAACGTGTCTTGTCGTTATTCTAAAAGAGTTGACTAAACTTGTTGGGTGGCCAATCCGGAGTCATTATCAGTAGTAAAGCAACATATCCTAGTACAGAATAAACTTACAATTAAGTGATGTAAAAAGATAGAAAGTAATTTGCTGTCTAGAGTTACCTAATGATATGGTCTGTTCACTTAACAGGTAAATCATTGAATTGCTCTTTAAAAGAAAACAAATTAAAAATCAAAATTCTCACAGAATAGATTCTATATCGGAAGACAGAGATACAAGGTCAACATGGTGTTTGAGGATTGATCTAATACTTATTGTACAAATTAACTGACCAGTTAAGAGCTTACAGTTTGTCTCTGCCGAACATAAATGGATTCATCGAGAAAAAAGACAGTCATCGATTTTATGGTAGTATTCAAAGCTGAGAAGCACTCTACATAGATTTTCATCGTTTTTGTAATAATAAGGATAACTACTCAAAAATACATGAAAAAGTAATGACATCAATGGTACTATAATTCTATCGGTAGAGTAGTAAATGTTAAGAATATATCACAGATCAAGTCAATGTTATTCACTGTCTTTAAACTATCTGAATCATTCTCCAGTCAATCTACATGGAATGATAAGACGGCCATAACGAACACTCGAGAAGAGAATGACTAGAATTTAGTACCACTAGAGGTAGATCTGACTATAATCTTGGTGTAACAGCTATTGGTTTGGATGAGTTAATGAATCTCACAAGATCATTTGACTGCATAAAATCTGAGTTATATATACAATATAAAGAATAAAACGAAATTTTCACATAATTGCAAGGAAGAATGGAACATAATTTATGTAAATAACAGTATTTATTTAAAGACAAATGAAATCAATCATAAGAGATAATCATATACGGAAAAGTGGTACATACTTCTTTAATGTTTTTTTATAGTAAGAATCACTATTTACAGCACAAATCACAGGAAACAACCTTTTTTCCTAGAACATTCTATGCACTAGAATCAGAGTCAGAATCACTTAATTTTAAATCATGTTCAATCAGTTTGCGATGGGCTGCTAAATTTGTTGTATTGACCGTTTTCGTATTAGTTTTTCCATTTGAAGATGGTTTTGCTTTCGATGTTTTGCTTCTATCGTTTGACAAACTACTAAGAGTAGATGAATTTGAATCACTTTCTGAGGAGCTGTCACTATCACTCTCCGATGTTTCAATATCCATGTCACAACTACTACTAGAAGTACCACTATTACTACTACTACTGCTACTACTACTACTTAGCGTTCTCGAATGTGGGGGCTTTTTTTGAGTTGGCTGCTGTACTATAGTACTTGAAGTCGATATCTCCGGATCATTAGATTTTCTTTTGGTTGGAGATGGTCGAATAGATTTTAAATCTTGTTCTGAGCGGCCAGCCAAGGACTGGGACTGTGGCATTTCTGAGTTGGTCGGACAAGTGGCGTCAGATTTTCGTTCTTCTCGGGTTTTCTTTAGCTGTACAGTATGTGCAATTCTCTCCAAGGTTAATTCATGAGTCTAATTCAGGAAGTAACACAAAACATGTCGGTGATAAGGAGGAAAACTAGTAGTCTGGTTAACACAAGTAACAGAGAAAGATATACCAAATACAAAACTAACATTTTAAGTAGAATAACGATAAGCATCCGACAGACAAAGGAGAGATGTTTGAAAATAGTCTGGTTTATTATAAACACGCAACTTACGTCAGTAATGATTTTACAAATTAAGTGACATGTGTTATGTATTGGGCCTTTTTAGTAATTTACCCTCCAAACAAGTTTGATGCAGTTAGGCGACAAACTATTATGTACAAAACCACGAATGTGAATGAACTGAACAAATAGTGCTAGTTGGATAAGACTAGAGGGCATAGAAATGTATGGACAATTACCGACCCAATTTTCCTAAACACTTGAGTTTACTGTGAAAATGTTACTTTATTTATTTTAACACAGGTATTGGTACAAGGAGGCACCAAATACATATGCGCCACACAGATCTCATTTGATATGTGTGAGGGCTGAGATACTGCCTGGGTGCCCAGACCGAAGCAGGTGGTTTTCTTAGGGGGCCACACCCCGAGCCTTTGACCTAAAGGTCTAGTCCACAAGGCAGTGGAGCATCGTGAGGACATGCAGTCGCATGGAAGCCCGTGATCAAGAAATTGGTTCATACGCCATTTGTTCCTTCAGGATACTGGAGCCGATGTGCACCATTGGTTTGGGATCCGGTTAAAGCACCGGACCCTCGCTTTTCGTCATCTCAATCTCGTAAACAACACCCCCGACACGTGAAGGCAGTGAGTAGGACTTCCCTGGCAGAGGCTGTATACGCGTGGCCATGTGAGAGCATTTCGAGAGGGAGAGCGGACTCTCCCCACTTTCGGCTGTACCAGGGCATTTGGGGGCGAAAATGTTACTAAATTTAACCAATCTTAATTTTTTCAATTTTGCAACGAACAAGATAGGGATCATTGGGAGTAAGCTGGACAAAATTCATTTATTGCTCAGTTGTCATAGATTCATTTATTAATAAAATATTTTTCATTAGTACTTAGCATTGGATAATGTACCAGTAACATAAACTATATTGTGATCTTTTAGACAAACTAACACTTCATTAAGTCCACAGAAATGACACAAAAACTAAAATCTCTTGTCTATTCAATTTTTGCGGAATAAGCATGTTTCAGAGACTCATACCTTTCAAAGCCAATGACCGATAAACTACGGAATGTCAATTTTCTCTAAACAAACAATGAGAATTCAAAGTGTGCAAATACCGAGTGCACTGAAATGGAACAGTGACATACAGGCCAAAACACGCTTAGTAACCTGAGTTGAAAGTTTGAACACCGTTTATCTCATGTCGATTTGAATACCTAGATAGTATGCTTTGAAGCTGGTGACTACATTAAATTTGATTGAATCGAACCTAAAAAATCTGAAATGATGTAGTAAGAGTTTACGATTGTACAACTGGTGTAGAGTATCCAGAAAATCTTGAAGCTAAAAACAAAGCTGGCTATTGTACATAAAACACGGAAAAGGACAGTTGGACAACCCAGCCACGCATTAGATTATGAATAACATTTGAAAAACACGACCATTATTAGTCAACGAAATAATTCTAAAGATGTTTGTCAATCAGTGTTTAGAATCTGGTAAGATCTATGAGTGATCCTGAGGTGAAACAGCAGACAGCTAACCGAAAACTACTTAGTAAGAGACTGATCAATTGCAGTCCCAAACATCAATGGGAAGGTTCAAGTAAAACAATATCAAGTGAATTTACTTAGTGATCTATTCATTTTTATTTATTTGAATACATAAACATCGGTAAAAGGAGACGCCAAATACATATGAGCCACACAATAACACTGAGGCCAGTAGCAGTTATCATTGATTTGTGTGAGGGTTGGGATACTGCCCGGGTGCCCACTAAGGGCTGCACCCCGAGCCATTGACACAAAGGTCTAATCCATATGGCAGTAGAACAACTTTAGGAGATGAAGTGCCATGGTAGTCGGTGACCAACAATAGGTTCACACGCCATTTCCCCCCCCCTCAGGATTCTAGAGCCATGTGCACCATTGATTTCAAATCAGGGTTTTCCAACTCTCCTAGGTAAGACCTCCGTACCCACCAACCCGGTTAAAGCATCGGATATTCGGTTTTTGTCCTATCATTTCCGTAAACAACACCCCCTCTGCGAGAATGCACTGGGTAGGACTTCCCTGTCAGCGGTTGTATACGTGAGAGCATTTCGAGAGGGGGAGCTGTACCAGGGCATTTGGCAAAAATAAAGTGACAGTAATTACATGGCGCACCTTTATCTCGGTTTAAAATATGTAAACAATCAAATGCGAAAATCACAGTTGTGTTCAAAATACTTTGAAGAGATTTGTAGAATCACCTTTTTATTGTAGATCAAAATACATTCTTTTTGGACAGGACGTGCGGTTCCACGAAACAAAGTTGCTGTATCTGGTCCAGAGTTTGTAACATTTGGCAGGCTAACAACAACTTCTTTGCTCTCGTTTACTTTGATTGACCCAGGTTGTGAACGATCGACAGAAGCTGGCATGAAATCACAACGCATGGTCATGTAGGATGTTGAATCTCGATCTAGAAAACTTCTACCTAACTTCACGTCGAACGTTCCATTGAGTTGCATTTTGATTTCCGGTAACTAGTGTAATAGCAAACAGTGAAAAAATAACCTGTATGATGTCGTTAGAAGAGAAAAACAGTAACATGATAAGTTGTGCAGCGAATACGATCTATAATTTATTGGAATCAACTGTATGAAAACAACGCGCGATACAAATTTAGAATCACATACAATTCGTCCAGCTTCACGAAAACGTCACCTGAGTCGACCGTGATTAACCATCGTTTTATGTAAACAGCATCACTTAACTACTCTAAAGGAATTAGAAAGTCATGTTCAGTTGTGGAAATATGTAAAATCGGGACATTCAAAATAAGAGCCACAATAACAAACATGTGATATCAGCATATAATCAATAAATTTGTCTGAGCCATGCTGGCCGATGCAGTCGACCAATGGTTGCATGGTTGTATCACATTCCTACAAGTTGAGAGATATATACACTTATTTCTAAAGAGAAACAAATAATTAATTGCTAGCTCTAACATCAACGTCCACAACACTTAAAGCAAGCTGTACCAACCGTTATTATTTATCCTGTCCAACATATAGTAGATTGCCAAAAAATCTCTTTGAAGGATGGGATAGCAGACGTAAGTACAGGCGGAGTGGTCACACAGTTATCTAGACCTTATAAATGAGCCCACAATTGCGCAGGACTATGCGAAGTAGGAATCAGGTTAAGTAATTTAGTATCTGCATACTGTCTTTACACTTATATACTAATCAGCCTCGTTTTTACGTCCACTGAAGTCATAGGTCCGAGAAATATACACGACAGCTTTCACGAAATAGACTTACATATTCAAGATGTTGCCACTTTTTAAATGCGATCAGTAATTTTTAAAAACTATTGAAAGTCTGACTATACGACGCTATATGACAAGAACGACTAACTTTTCTAAAACTACTTTCGAGAGTAACGAAATCATCAGAACAACCGGGAATTTTAGTGTAGACTTAAACAACACAGCATTATACCATCATTTCGCAACTATTTCTCAGAATTAGTAAATTAAAATTTCGTTAAGTAGTTGTATTTTTGTTACAAATACTTTGATATCGACAGCTTTTTGGGTACAATTCGACAAGAACGGTACTTGACTTTTTAGGATCGCTCTCCTGATGTCAGACCGAAAAGCGGAATTAGAGCGAAAAAAAGCAAAGCTTCTTGCTATGCGAGAGGAAAAAAAGAAAAGAGAAGAAATAAAGAAAACTGGGATACACGACGTTGAAGTCTCAGACATACGTCAAACGACTGAGGAATTATTAAAGGATCTTGGCCTGCCTGAACCCGTACTACCTCAAGCTATCAACATACGTGAACTAGAATCACCGTCTCTTGATACAGTTGATGGCATGCTGTGAGTTTTTGTTATCTGTTTTTTCATTAAGATTCATATATATTGCAAGGAGATCTAATTTATTTACAGTATTTTTGGTTTCTTGTACTTTTCATGGTTACATCACTAGTGGAAAAATGATTCGGCTGAACACCAGGAGACACATACGGCGTTAATAAATCAAGGTTATAGAAAGTTGGAGGCTTCTTTGTTAAACGTCTTTTTTCCAAGACACATGTTATAAGCTTTTTGTTAGTTTTGCTACAACGATTTCGTCCAATTACCAGTGCTTCTTAATCTTTCGAAAACGTAGTTTGAAATTGGTTTCCAATACTGTTTACTGATATGTTCTGTTTTAATTATTATTTTCATTGCAACTAAGCTGTCAAACAGGCATGAGAAACCGGCATATAATTTTTCTACAAATATTTAGTGTCGAAAACTTGTTTGTTTGAATTATGCCAAAAACGTTGTCCCGTTTCTCATCTATTTACACCATACTTTTTTAGCTCTGCTGTCAACTTCGGATGCAAACAATTTTTTAGTTCGTTAGTGTGAAAATTTGCCACCCACATAAATGAAAAGATATTTTTGACAAACCCTAATTTAGGCGAGATAAACAAATAGTCTAACTATTACAAAGCCGCGCTCAAAAAAGCTTTCAGCGTGCATGAATAAGCTTCTTTTCTGCTAACTACATCAGTGAAATATCGGAAAGTGAATTTTCTCTGATTTGCTATGATGTCACAAATTGCAAGGTGATGGCAATTGTTTTCTTGCTCAAAACTCATAAATTTAGGATGATTTCATATGTCTTTTCCTCATTTCCGCTACGTTTTTTATTGTTAGCCAACGTAATTCTAAGAAACGGAAAAATCTACAAGTTTCCGATGTTTTTGAGATTGCGATCCCTCCTCCGGAAACCATAATTTATAGCAAAGAAACCCAGACTCTAGAAGAACCTCAAGAACGGGAAAGTAAGCAACCAGTTTCTCAGTTTCAGTTTTCTCTTATATTTGTTTTCTGTTTACGCATTCGCTTCATGTTCGTTCCGTACATAATATCTCCGTAAACTATATCCTAGAGGTGTACGAAACAACTCGTTATTATCAATCAATCCGTTTAAATTCTATTTAGCCACTTGCTACAATAATAATAATTTATTGCATGTTATAAATTCCGAATAATTTCTACTGACGAAGTTAATAAACATCATTAAAATTGCATGACTATCCCGTTGTATCTGTAAACTATGTTCAGTCTACACTAGAAAGGAAATAACCCTCAGTCAGGCATGTGTGGTTAGAATAATTTTGAACCTTGATCAAAATCAAATGATGACTCACAAATACTTGGAGAACAATGGAAACGAATGTTTATAGATACAGATCAGATAATCCATGAGATTTTTGTCAGTCAGTCAGTCAGTCAGCTGCAACGTAGGACCAGGCACGTATATGCATCGGTCCAAGTTGCCATACCGCATTAGCACAACAAGATGAACACCGGATTCATAGAAGTAGTTAATTCAGTGGTGGTAATATATAGAAGAAAGAGTGTGTATAAGGATATAGTACAGGAAGATAGAATTAGTTCGTAGAAAGAAAGATTTGAAGTGATTTTAATCTCTTAGTTTAAAGGAAGACAGAGAGTGTATACACCGACGCCATTGTGATCGATTCTGAGCCATGTCACCAAGAGTCTCCAACCATTGGTTTTGTAGAATAACTAAAAACGGGGATCTACTAAAACAGTGACTTCACTGTTTAGTAGTTTCGAAGTGATGGGGTCCCATATCACTGTGCTTATATTTGATCACTATTAGTGACAGGTTTCGTCTTACAGAATAATGTAAGCGGTTCTCCAATAACATTGTTCCTAACTCACTACTCTCTGGAAATGACATAAATTCTCATAAGCCTGTCACATATTGAATAAAGTTATGATACGTGGAAAAATTGATTGAATAATATTGAGATATTCTGTGGTAGTATATTCTATAAACTATATTTGATTAGCAGGTCGTTCAACTGATTATTATGGTAAGTTAATTCTTGACTCCTTCCTTCAAACACTTCAATGTTGTACATTTATGCTTTGTTTCGGCAATTTCTATACGCTTAATGCTTGCTAAAAATCAAGTTTTTTTCCTGTTTTTCATAATATAAACACGATTTTTGTGCATAAACTGAAAAAAAACTAGATTTCTTTCACATGAAATCATGATAGATATTTTTATTTATTATGGTTTTTGATCCTTTCCCAAACAACGTCAAATGTTTTGTATGCTCAATCAAGTACTTTTTTATATACATTATCTTTTAGTGATGTGCTAGTATTGATTGATCACTATTTGTATGGAGCAAATAGTAGTGTTAAAATCATCGTTGTAATTCTAATGATGCATATTTTTTCATCATATAATTGTAAAACGTTTCAGCACATTATGCTGCATCAGCATATAGCTAACATCGTGTATCATTTCTTTTTAGCTTGATTAACTTGTCATAACTATGTATGTATGTATGTGTGCATGTTTGTGTAAGAATACGTGGGTCTCTCTATCTTGTTTCACATGCCCATTGTGAATTGAATCATCATTAACCGGAGATTATACATTCTTCATATAAACCCAACCTTCGCATTGTGTTCACTGACCTAAAACAAATACTCGGTGTACGTTTACGTACTTTATCGTATTTGAGTACTTTGTTCCCAAGTGAATCGATTTTATTACATTTAAGAATTTGTTTTTACTTAAAATTACTAATGTTAGATATACTGTTTCCAATATCAAGAAACAAGTGGTGTAAAACTTGTTTAGTTATCATTGGCCAGTCTAATTAGAAAAGCGTTTGAATTTTATTTTATTTTAACGCATAGATATTGGTACAAGGAGGCACCAAATACATATGCGCCACACAGATCTCATTTGATATATGTGAGGGCTGTGATACTGCCTGGGTGCCCAAACCGGAGCAGGCGGTTTTCTTAGGGGGCCACACCCGGAGCCTTCAACCTGAAGGTCTGATCCACAAGGCAGTGGAGCATCGTGAGGACATGCAGTCGCATGGAAGCCCGTGATCAAGAAATTGGTTCATACGCCATTTGTTCCTTCAGGATACTGGAGCCGATGTGCACCATTGGTTTGGGATCCGGTTAAAGCACCGGACCCTCGCTTTTCGTCATCTCAATCTCGTAAACAACACCCCCGACACGTGAAGGCAGTGAGTAGGACTTCCCTGGCAGAGGCTGTATACGCGTGGCCATGTGAGAGCATTTCGAGAGGGAGAGCGGACTCTCCCCACTTTCGGCTGTACCAGGGCATTTGGAGGATAGTTTTCAAAAAGTTACCCGATTAAATCATAACTCCTCACAGGTGATGCACTTAGTAGTGGTTTATTTACGGTTCCAATGCGATTCTATGGCATATAAAGTTAAATAAGTAGAAAGACGAATAATAACTTACCAATAGCTTTGCGTAAGGATAGCACTACTTCACAAATCGACTGAACAAACGTATGTCTCACTGTTTTCCAAGTTATTGCATAAAAGATGCTACACTAACTGCAAGATCTAGAGGTTCTGGCTTCAATTCCACCTGAGGTCGTGTATGTGTGCTGCTTAACGTTTCATATTTTAACAAAATGACTACTCAGTATTCTATGATCTTCCATTGGTTCTCCAGTTGATGTCAGTTTGTGAAAATCACTGTCATATCAAATAAATTATATTGAAGTAGTACTGCGCAATGTTATATTCTCCATCCTCTCACCGCAATTATTATTATTATGACAAAAAGTTGGTTGTCTTCTAGACTAATAATTAAGGTGCGGCATTTATATATTGCTCTCTGGTGTTCATTAATTCTTTAATTATCATCAGTTTATCAACGAAATCTGCCAGCATTTTATTTTTGTACATACTTTCATTATTTTTGAGTTCTGAATAAACAAACTCTAATTTTTATTAAACTATTCATTTGCTAGCTAATTCAACTCTTCATATATATATATATATATATATATATATATATATATATATATATATATATATGCCAGCTATGTCATGGGACCGGGCACATATATGCATCCGTCCAAGTTGCCACACCTCATTGGCACAACAAGGCGAACACTAAATTCATAGAAGTCGTCTCAATGGTAGTAATATATCAAAGAAAGATCGCATATAAAAAGAATTAGTTCGTGGAAAGAAAGGTATAAAGTAATTTTAATAATAATCGGAATTTTCCAGCGACTAATTTTCGGCTCACGGTTTAAGGGAAGACAAATAATGTATACACCTACGCCATTGTGATTAATTCTGAGCCATGTCACCCAGAGCCTCCAACCATTGGTCACAATAGTTGCGCGGACGCCAACCAAGTAGTCTGTATCTACCAACATGAGTCCTAGGGCAGAACTAACTCTCTTAGACAGGATCCCAGTAAACAGTCGTTTGTGCGCTGTCCGACTAAACGGAACAGTAAGGACTCGGAAAGATAGGGACACTCGTCGTTGCCTATTCTACCACTGACTGCAGCTCAGATGGTGTTAAAGATGAGTTTTACAGAAAGCTTTCCGACCTTCTCCGAAAAGCTAGGCGTTCAGA